CCATTTCGAGTCTCTCTCTCTCTCTCTCTTTTTTTTTTTTTTCCTTTCGCTTTTGTTATTTTTGCTTCTACTTTTTTGTTGTTGTTTTGTTTTTAGCGACAGCTCTCAAACCTACTTTGGGGTCTTAAAACGAAAACGTACACCATTTCACTGTGGACATTACACCCTCTTACAGATATGGGAGACATGGGAGACCCACCAAAAAGTAAGGCGGAATTTTTACCGTTGTTGGAATAAATGTGCTGTCTATTGTAATCGTTTCAGGCAGGCGAACTGCTAAAGAGCTGAACTTCATTTGAATGGTAGAGAAGGTGCCTTTGTTGCCATGCCTGCATGCTTTCTGTGTTTTAACCGCGTAGCCTTGTGTGTTATTAGCCTGAGTTCCTGCTCTGTTTTAAAGTTTGGGGAGCAGACAGCATTTTAATGGGAGCTGCAGCCACGGAGCTTTGAATTCTCGTGCCAGACTGCAGTGTCTGACTACCCAGCACCTAGTCTGTCTATGGGAATTAGCATTAGACTTGCAAAAGAGAGCAAGTGACAACAGTAATGATGCTTGTTCTCGCTAGCAGCCTCGAGTCCCCTCTTCTATGCAAAGGGCTGAATGGGAAGCGCACCTAGGCACGCGTTCGTCGTTTCCAGTCAGAGCCTCTTAAAAAATGAAATCAAACATATAGGTGCTCCCCCCGTAAGGAAAGATATCCAGATAAGCAAAAAAATAAAATAAAAATAAAACAACGAGAGACTTTGGAGTTTTGCTTCCGTGTAAGGCTTGCAAAATGAGAACATTCACCCCGAAGACTGCTCACATATGCATTTTAACATACGTTCCGCCTCCTTTCTAAACGAGGCAAGGTTTTGATGGTACACTTCAATTACCATGCACAAGTGTAATACTCTTTAAAAAACAAAACAACCAAACCACTCAGAGTACGCCCTATAAGGGAACGACACTAAAAGTGTGGTTATCTCTGTAGGAGAGTAAACGGTTAGTCAATCATGTATTTATTTTCATTTCAGAAAAACGCCTGATTTCCCTATGTGTTGGTTGCGGCAATCAAATTCACGATCAGTATATTCTGAGGGTTTCTCCGGATTTGGAATGGCATGCGGCGTGTTTGAAGTGTGCAGAATGTAATCAGTATTTGGACGAGACCTGTACGTGCTTTGTTAGGGATGGCAAAACCTACTGTAAAAGAGATTATATCAGGTACGCCATTTACGTTGTTTAATTTTTAAATATTTTTATTAGTAGTTTTATTTTTACTTAATAAATCTGACAGAGGCAGGGAGAGGGAAAATGGTAAGAAAGAAGGTGAAAAGAGAATTGATATGGGTTTTTTTTAGTGATTTCTCCATAGATAGACAAGAGAGGAAAAAGTTACAGCGGTCAAGTTTGTTCATTCCACAGATTGATATGCAAAATTCTGTATTAAAAAACAAAACCAACCAAACAAAAAAACCCACCCAAACAAACAAAAAAACACACGCATTCAGGCATAGCTAGTGACTGTATGGGACCCTCCTGAGTACTTTGGCAATGCATGTAAGTCTAACAAAGTGCAAAATCGTGGGTAACCGAGAATATTTTCAATAGTGTATACATTATGAGCAACAAGGAACCGATTACTTTTTAACGCAATCTGAGAAACACATCTCTCTGTGTTTTTGCAAAGGAATAGTGGCATTCATAAGAAAGGCACTTTAAGCATATATACCTTAAAAATAAATACACTGGGGGCAAAAAACCACACCCTTATTTAAACTAGGCCTATCAAAAACAAAACAAAAACAAGGCAGAATTAAAAAAAAATATCGAAATTTCCTTCAGAATGACGGGTCCTTTTATGGGGAGGTTAAAAACTAGACCAAAATGTTTCTTCGCTAAAATAACTGACATTTAATCTTTTTAAATATTAACCCCTTTGGTGATATCTGACTGCCTTTTCTTTCTTATCTTATCTGTACTGATGAATTAGACAGAGCAGATCAAATTGCCCATCATCTGTTCGCGAACAATTGGGTATATTTAGATAATGGAACCGCTTCCTTCCTCACATTAAAATCTGGTAACTGATAAAATGTGAGAGTTGCCAATCCTGACACTATAGAGAAACTAAAGCAGGAATTTCGAGTCTGTTTATTATTTGTGCTCCTGGGTCATGTTGATCCGTTTCAGTGTCGCCTACTATGTTTGCCAGATCAGAACTTTGCATGACACTGAGGTATGGACAGTAACTTTTTAATGAAAGTTTCGGGAGCAAGTACTTAGCTAGCCACCTAAGGTACATTTTCTAATTTCTCTGTAATTCTAAACTGGATGAAAGCATTTCAGCGTTTTATTCTCCACTGCAGAATTCATGAGCAGATCCTTCCTTCAAGCTTGTGAGATTATTCTCAAAGTTTTACCATGGCGAAAAAACAGCTCCTTCCCCACCACCACCCCACCCCCACCCCTCCTTTTTTCCTTTGAGACGCACTTCGGAGCTGTGCTTTTAAATACCACATTTTCACTAATTTCAAATGAAAATAAAACTTTTGGACCGAGTTGTATTCGCTTACCTCCTGCAAGAATTCGGCGGGCGAAATTTAAACAAACAAACAAATACAACTCTTTCAAGATAATACGAAAAACACTTAATTTGCTACAATTTTGAAAGTAAGATGCATGTTTTGTACCAGTCGACTTGCAATTAGACAGTGAGGCAATTTCAAATTGTCAGACGTGCAGGCAACCCCCACAACATACATTTTGACATGGCTCTGTTCTTCTGCCATTTAGCTGCTTGTTTTTTCTTCTCAAAACGTTTTAATTCGGAAATAAGTAGATCACAGTGTGGGGTGAGTACACCTTTGTAGCCCCAGCAGCTAAAGATGGGTGTAAATTAGTAGCTGTACCCAAAAGCTTACATCACAGACTGTATCCCTGAAGGAAGTGTACTTGTGAATTCAAGTGAGGAGATTATTATTAGTTCAGTTTTAGAAACAACTTCTACAGTTCTGTGAATTGTGTGCAAGCATATGTACGTGTATCCATATACATTTGCGGGAAGGCGTTAATGTTACGTAATACCGGGAAGGCTGGCTAAGGAGCACTCGGTGGGAGCCGAGTGGGAGCCTGTGCAGTTAGAGACACCCGGGATGGAGCATTTTCTCACGTTCATCTACTGACGGATGAACAGTCCCCCTGTCCTCCAGGGGAAAGGAGGAACCCGCCACCCACTCCAGTGTGCAGCCCCCAGAAACCTATTATGTGCCGTGTGGGGCGAGAGGTTGCCCTTCGTTTTACTGCTGCCGGAGGGTTTGAGCCCCGGCTCAAGGAGGAAGCGCCAGCAGGAGGGGAGATGGGGCAGGGAGGCTGAGGTAGGGGCAGGCTGCAGAGCCAAAGCATCCAAAATGCCTTGTAGTAGGGGGCGGGATGTTACGCTACTATATATGTGAGCGCGTATATATGTATAAGGGGGTGTGTGTGTACGCCTATATTTTTGTATAAAATTAACCTGATGACAGAGGGAGAGGGGAAGAGCCGTAGCATCTGGAAGGGTCACTCCTGCCGAGTCCCAGAGGCTAAAATGCCGGCAACCCGGGCACTCAGTAAGCCCCAAAAGTCCTGAATGGGTTCCTCACAAAAAAAAAAAAATGACACCACTTGGTGAGGCTGGCACTACCTGGGGATTGGATGACAGCTTCGCCAGCCTCACCTTTCCCCGGTGCAGCCGGGCAGTCTGGTTCAGCCCTTGGCCAGGCTAGGTCAGATCCCCCAGCCATGAGGGAGAAGCAAGGCCAGGTCCTGGGACGGGGGAGGTCGGCTTTCCCTCGGGAAGAAAGGGGGGTCACTTTTTTGTGTCTCCCTTTTTCACATTCTACCTCCGCTTGCCTCTCCCCTTTCCTTTGCCCACCGGTGCGTCCGGGTCCCCACTGCCTTTTACGTCGTGTGGATTAAGGGAGAAATAGCAAATGAATCCGTTTTATCTCTTCTGGTTTCTGTATGTTCAGAGCTTATTTAACTAGTGGACTGCTTGTGGTGCCTTTATGCGGGGTCATGGGGCTGCCCTCGACCAGGAGTGAAAACCTCTCTCTTTCTTTTCCCCTTTCTTTTCTTCCCCACCCACCACATATCCTGCCTTCCACTTCTCC